TAAAGAGATAAACAAACTGACTAATAATAACAATTAATAATAATTTGTTTTGCTTATTCTCAACGTTTTTTTCTCAGAAGTCGAGTAAATCGGAAAAAATATAACTAAACAAAGAATGCATTTATTAATTTCTAATTTCTTTCTTTTTCTCTTTTTTCTATCTATTTTCTTTTGTTCTTTTTTTTACGGTAAATCAGAAGAGAAGAGTATAAGAAGAACATTATACTCTTCTTATTTTTTAATATTTTATAGTTTTCTTTAGTTCTTTTCCCATAGAAAAATATGGAGGAATAGATTGAAGACAAGTAGTATATAGAGCATATATATCTATATACATAACTAGTATATTTAACATATCGTAGAGTTTATTTAGACCTAATCGAAACATTCAACTGCAATAATAATACTGACAGAAAAGAAACTGGAAAGAAGAAATACGAAGAAAAGGACTACGATATTTTTCTTTAATAGACCATTGTATCTTACTAATAGAAATCTTTTAACAAATATTTATTTAATACAAGTATCAAGAGTTTATTTTCATTCATTAACAATTAATTGTAAATAGAAAAATATAAGTATAATATATTCAACTAAAAACAACAAATTCTCCCATTATGTTATCCTATTAGAATAGTCGTATTAGATTTTACTTAATATATATAGATAGAGTTTAAGGATTATGCTGTATGCGTCATTTTTCAACATAATATGTTGTAAGGAGATTTTGTAACCAATTTTTACATTGACCGTTTTAATAGATAAGAATGAAGCTAATATATTTATATATAATATATGAGTCGTGGGCGATATACTATACCCATATATATCTGAGATGGGAGAGAGAGAGAGAGAGAGAGAGAGAGAGAGGGAGAAAAGAGAATATACTGTATATATGTGCAGACAAACTCATTTATACAGATTATTAAATTAGTATTTATTAATTAACTATTAATCTGTGTACTACAAAATAAAGTATTCATATTTAAAATATATAAAAACTACAATATATTAAATATATAAAATACAGCAATTATTACTCACTGTCTCTTTGTTTTATAGAAAACATAACGTATACGTTTTTTCAACAGGAAAAATCATACATCATTTCCAACAATTCATTTCATCATTTTATAACTAGAGTAGTCAACTCTCTTGTTGATTTTAGCTTTATAGCTAATTAGACTTTTGGTTCAACCATCTTTGTTTTAGACTCTATATAATTTATTATATCCATATATATATATATATATAATATTTATCTACTAGACGTTATTCATGCACGTGTGCCTGTATACTCTGGTTGCTTATTCCATCAAGATGAAATAACTAGATGATAATGAGAAGAATTTTCCTTTCTCAGAAATAAATACAACAATTTATAACGCTTTGTGCTAAAAAACGATCTTCTCCTATGTTTAGTTTGACTAATTATCATCGGAGCTTTCATTGAAATTATAAATTAGTGAATATGAAAAAGGATTAGGATATATAGGATATCTTCTGTCATTACATTTACTAATTATCAAGTTATTCAAGAAGAATCTTTCATGATAAAAGGTATGAATATAGAATATCAGGTGATAAAAGAGCTTATACGAAATTACAACTAGATTTTTAAACTAAATATAGATTGATCATGCTTTTACTGGAGTCAATCTATGGAAATCTGCATAAAATTTTTTGATTTACCTCGAGGTGAGACAAAATTTGCACTCATTAAAGACCTTCCCATCCCCCTCTTAATCAATTATATGAGTACAAAAAAGTATATCTTTATTCTCGATGAAAAAAGACGTGCATCAAAAAAAATACAGATATTCTCTACCGCTTTCTAGTCATGAAACGCAAATATTATGTCACGTGACTATCTAGGAGAGGACTTTTAATAAATTTCCCCTAATCTCAAAGAAGAAGAATGAAAAAAGGTAGATCTGAGTATATGAAGAATGTTTTAGTTAAAAGGGTAATAACAGAAGCATTTTCCCTCTGCCTATAAAATTTAAAATATTGCACTCATTCTGAAGTAAAAACTATCATTAATTATTTTATATAAATATGTATATATGTTTATAATAGATCGTTCATAAATCGTATGCAGCGTATATCGCTTTTGTTGATGATAAAGAAGAGGCTAGTGTGTTATTTATTTGATACATAAACAAAGTTAGTATCGATTCACCGCTCTTCCTTAAATAATTCGTTATTGAAAAAAGAAAAATTTCTGTTCTCTTGGTGTATGTCAACTATGAATAGTTTAGAATGTCACATGACTTAATTACGTTTGAGGACATGGTTGGTTTTGTAATCCTATCAGGTTGAGTAGGTAATTTTCGACGAAATAAAAACATAAGAGAAATGGGCGAAAGAGAGAAAAGTGAGTGAGGGGCGAGCGAATGAGAGAACTACCGAGTGAGTGAGTGGCTGAGTGAGTGAACAAGAGTTTAAAGAGATTTGTAGAGAAGAGAAAAGAGGGAGAGAAGAAGGAAGAAGAAAATGAAAAAAGAATATAAAATAGTAATATTAATAAGAAAGAGAATAAGATTAAATCAAATTATATAGTATAAATGCATACACATTTATTAATGTGCGTTCGATCAATGTTATTACACTATAAATTTGAATTATAGTTAATAATAAAAAAAGAATCTTTCAGTCAGTAGGCATAAATTATGTACATTTATTAAAAAGTAGCTGGTGCATCTTTTAAATTAATAAAGTTTACTTGTGTGAACTCAATATATAACAAATGTACATGTACAAATATATGCAATATATATACTGTATATATATATATTATATATTTATATATTTATTAATTAAAACTTTATAGTCAACCTTTTTTATACCGTATAAAGAACTTTATTTCTTTTTCTGTTTGTCTGACTGTCTACCTAACAGTCGCTCTCTTTCTTTCTTTCATTCCCTCTTTCACCTCTACCTTTTTCTCTTTTCTTTCGTTTTCTCTAATCATTTAATAAAAAAATAACTATTCTTATTTTTAGAAATAATAAACTTTCACCATAAACAACTCAACTGTTCTTTTATATTCTCACCTTTTATTAATGCGTAATTGTAAATATTGTTATAATTAATAAAATTTCCTCCTAGTCGTTTATTAAGTTTAGGCATTTTCATTTATATATAATTCAAATAGAGTTGTATAAGGTGAAAACTATTTCTAGTTCCCTGTAACAAGTATAATTTACATACTGTGCACAATTGAATATGTACCTTTTTTCTGTATTGAACATACGCCGTAAAAATAATAATAGGAATTCAATTGATAGCTTCTTTTGTGGGGAAGAATAGAAAAGACAGAATAAACTCATCTTTAAAATATTTATCCTTTTCAATATAAAATATATACTGGGTAAGGCAGTGTTATTTTATATTAGCTACGGAAGACGTTGGTGTAGTTATAGTTAACTGTCTTATTAGTTAATGAATTATATAGAATCTATTTAGCACCTATTTTTCAACTTTTATTCAAGATATTTTAACATCCGTTTGTCAAGTGTTGAATAAGAAAAACTAATCAACACTTTGGGATAACAAATACCCGTCAAAAGCTGGTTGAAATCGCTACCGCTTTTGTCCTATGCAAATTAACACTTGAATTCGACCTTTCGTATGCAAATTTATAAATTCTTTGTATAAATAGGGAGGCAATGATCACAGGTCATTCGAAAATACTTTTTCCCACATATAAAATTGCTGTTTACTGTCAAAACGGGCCGTTCAATTTTTGTTCGACCGATTGCCACCTTCTAAAAAGTTATTGCCTATACCTGTCACTTGACCGGCAATGAACATTTTATACCCTGCATAAAACGTTCAATAGCCTATTTTTCTTTCGCAGTTTTAACCTGTTGCGCCATCTTGGACTTTAATTTTCTATTTAGATTTCGTCACTCTCCACATTCCAGTACTTGAACTATTATTGTGTACCTCTTTATAGCTGGGTTAAAGTTAGAGATGGGAGCGATATTACGTCTAAAAAAAGATGCTAGACTTGCATTAAATGATATTAGTTGAACGCTAAACTACTTATTCTACTGCTGGGAGAATCTTTTTATTATGTATAAATTGCTTTAAATCTACCACTAACGACATCTGTATTGAGTGTTGCATACTAAAAAAAAGGCGTCACTTTTTCCAAAAGTAAAGGGTATTTTAGGCATTCTGAATACTTAAAACTCTATTGATATAACTAAATGATAAGTAATTTAAAAGTAAGAATATCAATCAAATTAAATTTATGAAGCTATTCTAGTGTTTACAATTTACAAATAACACTTGAATGAAAAAATAATGAGAAGTAGATAAAAAAATTAACGTTTCAGTTTATTGATTGATTTTTTTTCTCCGCCATTGATTATAGGCTGTTCAATATAAAATCCTTAATTAAATAATGTAAAGATTTGTATGTAAAAAGAAAAGAGAAGGTTTTATCAATATTGACAATGACCGTTTAAAAAATGAATGAATAGAGTATAGCTTATGAGGAGAAGATAAATAAATTCAAAGATGTAATAGTATTTATATATATATATATTTGCTTTTTCTAATATATAAGATTAAAATTGCTTGCATTAATCTTTGTTATTCTGTACTCCGGGTATAGTATGAGTTTACTATTCGCCAAGTGTCATAAGTATTGCTATACGGAGCAGATATCCGATTACGAGCAAAGAATGAATCATAAAATACTTTATCAATATTTAAATGATATTTTTTATATAAATTGTTAAACGTAGAAAGAGAGAAAGTGGCGGTTAGAGGGATAGAGAAACGGATAGATAAACAAAAAGATTGAGATAATAAAATTTAGGAAAGTAATATCTTAACAACTGTACACGAATAAAAAGAATTATTAAGATACATAAAGATTGAATAGGAAACAGAAAATGTATTACTAAATATAATCAGCCAAATAGTCACGACACAGTGGGCAACGCCCCAGAAGAGCCTATGAACTATAGCAGTTTGTTTTCTTAGCGTTTTCCATACGGCAGCCATTTTACATCAACAACATTCATCTTCCAGATGGGGAAAAGAACAACCAAATTCTGGCACTTTTCAGTCGAATAGCAAATTCTAAAAATGAGCAGTGTAAGGAGACAAATGTCTCGAATTGTTCGTGCTCCAGTAGCAATAATGGAACCGGATAAATCAAGTAAACACTACCCAATTTGGAAATTTTTTCGGGATCATATAATATGGGTTATAGTTTTGATAGCATATTCTTTTATCGGAGCAGCAGTTCTAGAAAAACTGGAGAGCGAATACGAAAGAACCGAGAGGCAAAACGTACTAAATTCAAGGGAGAAAATGGTTGAAACATTGTGGAAGGCGTTAAATATATCAGATAATTCAACAAAGGAAGCTTGGAAAAAAAAATTTGAAATTGAATTGAATAAATTCTTTAAAATTTATAAAACTGGAATTCAGCCTGCAGTTTCATCTATAGAAGAAAGAGATGAGGAATTTGCATGGACATTTTGGGGTGCAATGCTATTTTGCGGTACAGTTTATACAACAATTGGTTAGTTTTACAGCAGTTTTTTTTCAGTTTTGCTTAGCTATACGTATTTATCTATTTCTTTTGTTTTCAATATATAGTTAGACTTTGATATATTCTTTATAAAAAGAATTATAAAACCTTAAATATAACCTGTTTTATCTCTCCCAAAGAAACCTTTACTGCTGTTACCTAGATTAGAAATATAAAATATATATATTTATTACTGTCAGTAGGGGTTAAAATTAGTTTTACAGACGCACGCCAATTATTACTATAGTTACATTATTAATACCATTACTACTGTTTATGCTCTAATAAGTTAAGCTAGGTTAGCAAATAAGAAGGTTTCAAAATATTTATAAGAATGTCGTCTATTTTTATATAGAAGCATTGCTATAAAGTTTATACATACATAAGAAGTAGCAACAAACTAGTATGTTCTCTATTCTATTTTTTATTCATGGCTACTTAGTTTGTTTACTAAATGCTTTAATTAATTAATTGGTTCATTAATCAAATATATGTATATATATATATATATATATATTTCGCTTCCTCCTTTATTTTTACCAAGTTAGTCTCTTTAAAAATGATCTTTTCTGTCATTATCGGTTCCAGGTTAACATTTTTGATTTTCAATTCTACAGTAAATAAACGTCTAACCTGTACGTAAATGAGCATATACTAATATGCATATAAATATATATGATAATTAGATGAAAATAAATTATTTAGTACCATATGAAACTGTAATCGTCATTTTCTTTTTCCAGAAACTTTTCAATTTTAATTAGGTTATTTGTACTTAAATATTTTACTTTTTTAAGCGTTTATTATCTCCAGTTTCTTATACAATGAAGTAATTGTGGCTAAATAGTCTCTTCTTACGCAAAATTTCTAATTCAAAGTGATTCATCTATTCATTCATTTACTGATTTTTTTAAATAATCGATTAAATTTACTAAAGAATTTTTTATTAAAAGATAAATTTAACTTGTTATATAATACTGTCTTAATTGACTAATATGTAGTTTTCTTCTTTACAGATGGCCCAATTTTTGGATAAGATTAGTTTACAATATATTATTTTCATTTATTAAGAATAGTATATAAAGATATATAATAAAGAATTTAATGAAGTTGATGTTTGTCGGTTTGTCAAGATATTAGACAGTTTAATGAAGAATGTTGAAAAGATATAGATAGATATATAGATAAATTTGCTTATATAGAAGCAGAAAAAAGAGAAAGATGAAAGAGAAGGAAAGAGAGAGAGATAGAGAGAGAGAGAGAGCGTGTGTGTGTCTATGCGCTGACTGAATTGAATGAGAAAATAAAGGAGGAAAGAAAATAATTACATTAGATTTAAGTGTCATAACCACTTCGATAGATTTGTCTATATTGTATAATTAAAGAACCAAACGCCCTTCTTCTTTAGCATAAAATAGAAAATATATTGCATGTATTGTTTAATCGATTTATTATCTTCTTTTAGGTTATGGATATTTAGCACCAAAAACAGTTCCAGGCAGAGTTTTTAGTATGGCGTACGCCGGTTTTGGCATTCCTTTATGTCTTATTGTTTTGGCAAACTTTGGTAAATTATGTACTGACGGCTTAAATCGCTTTTGGAGTAAAGTATCTAATTGTAAAACTAACAAAAGATGTGCGTGCTGCAAAACAAAGTCTTCGCAAGGACCTTTGAATGAGACTGAAAATTTTAGTAATATAAACAAAGATTCTCCGAAGAGTTCTATATCAAACATTGAGGAATTAAGAAGATTCGAAAGAAAACGGTCGCATCCTTCTTTATCTTCTAATTCAGATTCTATTAGATCATCAGCTTCAAAACCGGAAAGATCATTCGAAGAAAGAAAACGATCTGTTCTTATTAGTATATCCCTTGTAGCTGTGTATATAGTGGTTGGTGCTGCCATCTATACGTCTTGGGAAGAATGGGAATATTTTGATGCAATATATTTTATATTTATAAGTTTGACAACTGTAGGATTAGGTGATGTTTACCCTAATCATCCAAAGTATTTTATTCTTTCATCTGTGTACATGTTTTTTGGATTAGCTCTCGTATCTATGGTTGTTAACTTGATTATGATTAACACCAGGAAGAATGTTGAGAAAAATCTGAAGACTATTGGAAATAAAGTGGAAAAGAAGGTTGTTGCAAGACAAAATAGTCATCCAGTCTTGAATATTCGTAAAAAGGCTTTGGCTAATGTAAAATCTGCAGATATTTAGTTATATACTTAAAAAATATTTCTTTTACTTTGTGTATTTTGCACAAATATAATAATTGTATAAAGAGAAAGTGAGATTCCTGTAAAAGATGCAACTGTTTATATTACCTATACTCTATGTAAAGGATGGTAATTATTAGGTTGAGTATATTGGATTTTAGGCCTTCGGGGTAAATGTGCATCCAACGGAAAATTTATTATGATTATGTTGAATATATTTTTTTCTTTATTTTTTCAACCAACAAAAGTATGTTCCAAGTTTTCTCTTTGAAGTCAAATTATATATATATATATCTATATATATATATATGTAATATATTATTAATATCTATACGTTAATGTACAGTACGCACAATCAACTGTGACCCCACTGAAAATTTGTTTATAATCTTTTTCTCTTTGATATATAATTATATATTTCTAATTGTAGACATGAATATATAAATGCGTTTAAGAAATATCTGTAATCTAGGATCTCTTTAAGATTTTAGGTTAAGTGGCTTTCTTATATTAAAACTGCAAAAAATTGTGGGGCACAATCACTTCTCTTCTATAAAATAATTTTTGGTATTAATTTTATGATTAAGTGTTGTAGCCTTGCTTGACTATTCTATCTGAGAAGTTCTGGTTTAGATTCTACATGTTGATTTCAGTCCAGTCAAACTGTCTTCTATTTCGATATACTCGCCTTGCCATCTTTCACTACATGCACTCAATTATGTTCAAGTTGGACAATTTGATGACCAGTCAAATTATTCTATTCCTTGTTCGACAAAGAAGCTTTTTTGCAGTGAAAATCCTGTGGAGTAAATAAAGTTTGCAGCATAGAGAAAATAAGCAGAAGGAACAAAATGATCCTTTAAAATATCAACGTAGTCCTTTCCATTCTGGGCTTTCTTGCGCAAGGGAAGTTTCCCTTGCCTATTCCTCTGCCTCTATATTTTTAGATAGAACTTCTCTTTCTCTACGGAATAATACAATGGCAATAATAAATTCAATTGTCAGGTCCATCCAGGTTGATGTTAATATGAGTTTTAGGAAGAGAAATACCGGTCGCCACAATTTTTTTGCGCACTGTTTATATGTATAAAAAGTTTATATATATATATATATATATATATATATATATATATATAATGTTTCTGTACAATTCAGTCATATTTATCTATTTTTTTCAAATGTATTATTCTTTTATCAGTAATGTGAAACAACGGTTTTGTAACAAAAGAACGTATTTGCATTTTGAATACAACTTAAAGTATCGTTTTCCATTGTTGTTGTTGTTTTTTTATTTGTTTGTTTGAAAAACTGTTTCCTGAACAAATTTTAATAGATATCCAATTTTTCTATAAGTCCTGCTTTAGCAACTTTATGATAAAGAAGTTTGTATAGTATTGCTACTAAATATGCTGATTTATGGTTAATATATGGTTTACTATAATGTATATTTTATAGAACATCTCCTAAAGTGGAAAAAATTCTAGATATAAGCCAAATTGAATCATAGAAGTTCTTTATCGAGTAGAAAGGAATTTCTTTTCTGAAGACTGAGAGAAATCTCGAGTTTGTTAAATATAGATACTGTATAAATTTATATTATATTTGATATAAAGAAAGAGTTTAAATTAGAAGAGTTGTATAAACAGCAACAGTGTAACAGAAAAGAAGAGGGAAGATATAGAGAAAATGCATTGATAATAACTCTTCTTGCTCTAATTATTCTTCATTTTTTTTTATCAAATTGTAAATAAAGTATTTAAGCAAAAAATATGTTTTCATCGAGTATACAAACTATGTAAGGAAATATCGATATTCTATCTATAAAAATGAAAAGAATTAGTTTATCAAGTGTCTTTGCAAATTTTGTTAATGATTGAGTAATAAAATAGAATTCAATACTTCTTAACAAAAAGATTCATTTACATATAAAAAGTTATATGTATAGGGTCGTTGCTGTCTTTCAAAATTTATAGTATATATATATATATATATATATATATATATTTATATGTTGCAATTAGTAGAGAAAATAAAAGTCCTAGAAAATCGTCAAATACAGGAAGAAAAGCTTACATGCTTTTAAAATAAGGTTTTTAAAGGACAAAGATAAACGAAAAACTATTAGTGTATTAAAGGCAAAAAACCTATGGCTCAGGAATTGACTTTGTATAATGATTTGTGCTTACTATTGCGATAATGAACTGAACAAAAAGTGCAGAACTGAAGCGTTGAAAATCCAATTCATTATTGCGTGATTTCCTTTCTTCCTTTCATCCAATTAATAGCCTGTTACAGATTTTTTGTTAGTGTTTCAGTAAAAGAAATAATAAATATTTAAAAATAAAAACTAAATTAAAAGCAATAAAACAATATAAAGCTGATATTAATAATTACAAAAGGGGAAAAACGAAGACAAATGGATCGGGAAGAGAACATAAAATATCAGTTGGGAAAAAAGGTGAAAAAAAATGAACACTTTCCATTAGGGGATAAAATCTGTAGGTTTATATAATTAATGAAAGGGAAATCGAACCTTCATTAGTCACGTGTTAGTAACTTTTGGATGAAATTAGGAGTGCAGCTGTAAAGTAAATTTAATTTTATAAAGAAAAGTTGTTTATAAAATAACGATGACTATTTCCCTTTGATTATTTTCTTATATAAATTTCATATCACAAGGTGAATACTTGAAAAAGATAAGGAACTAGAGTATATTGCGAACGAAGAAAAAGGTTCTCTTTTCTTCCTTACATCTTTTTTTTTGTGTATAAAATCTTTCTTTTCTGGCTTTATTTTTAAATAGAATATAAATTGATAAATATACAATTTCTCTAAAAAATTTGTCTTATATTGGCATTTTTTATGAGTTTGCAAAGAAAGAGAGAGAGAGAGAGTGAGTGAGATAGATGGATAGATAGAGAGAGAGAGAGAGAGGGGGGAAGGAAAGAGACTGAGCGACTGAGAGACAGAGAAAAGATAAATGTATATAGTTTTTTCTTTGTAAAAAAAATATTGGATCAAAATTTCAAATGTCATTTTTACTGGTGTTACATTTTTTTACTGCATATGCTATATATATATATATATACAGTATATATATATATATATATATATGCAGTCGAAAAAGAACACTAGAGTGGGTCCTAATCGATAAGTAAATGAAAAAAAAATTATGTTTTATTTACTTCCGCTTGCTTTCCTACTTCCAGCCCCACTTTTCGCACTGCTAGAGGAACCCCTTCTCGATGACGATTGGCTCGATGAATTAGTCTTCAATCTCCCGATTGTCAAAGTTACTTTGCCGATTATTGTCTTCAACAGAGCCGCAGCCTGTTCATGACTTGCATTCCTTAAATCTTCACCGTTTACATTTATAATTTGGTCTCCTGCCTTTAGTTTTCCGTCTCCGTCTGCTACTCCTCCTTTTACTAAATCTGATATAAAAACACCTCCGTGACCCCTTCTCCCAACTATACTCAGGCCAAGGCCCTTGTTAGGCTTCTTTTGTAAAGTAACAGTTATGACGTCGTACGGATCCTCTTCAGGTTTTGGCGTTGTAGACGTTTCTTCCCGTTTCACAGTCATTATAACTACGTTTTGCGTTCGTCTAAGAACCAAAGTAGCCTGTTGACATTAAAAATAAAGTACAGGATAAAATAAAAGACGATCAAAGGGTCCTATGAACATAGAAATGTAAAACATTTATCGTATTTGAAAAGAGTAATTATTTACTTACACTGCAAGTCTTTCTAGTATACATCGTAATTATATGCATCGTTTAATATACTATTTGCTATGGGAGCCTTTCTTTTCGCTTAAAATAGTATACTGTACACATTACATATAAGATGACATACATATCATACACTTCGGTTGAGTATATTGAGTTTTGCGAAAACCGCAGAATTTAACAACCACTTAAACTCCCGTTGATAATTATACTAATACTTCTTTTCCTTCCACCCTTTCCCTTCTCGCCCAAAACGATTAAATTAACCAAATAATGGTAAACGAGGCTATTATTAGAATTATATATGCTCTCTCTTTTCTTACCTGTTCGTGAGTTGCATCTCTTAAATTATTATCATCAACTTCTAAAATATGGTCCCCAACTTGTAACCGATTGTCTTTTGATGCAGCGCCATCTTGGTGCACTTCATGAATCAATATAGCGCCCAGCATAGTATCGGCACCACCTACTATACTTAATCCTAATCCTTTTTGACCTTTTGCAATACTAATCGTAGTTTCCTTGCCTTTTACAATCGGACAAGTCGCGGGATCTAACACAATCTCCGGTTCGGCCGGAACCGGATTCGGAACGGAAACTGCTTCTTCTGTTTTCTTTTCAGGTTCAATCTGTGTACAAACTGCTGCCTTTCCCGATTTTACAATTAATTTTACAGGACCTTCCGGTCTCCCCCTTAAATCATCCAACGCTTCTTGATACGTAGCATTTTCTAAACTTTTATCTCCAACCCCCAAAATTCTATCACCAATCTTTAAACGGCCGTCTAAATCAGCCACTCCGCCAGGCGTAATCGTCCGAACTCGTATACCTCGTATCCCATCCACAGTATCCTCTTTTATTGCAAAGCCTAATCCTCCTACTGATCCCTAGAATGCAATAAAGTTACAGCTTAATAGGGAGGATATTCAACGGTAAACAATTACTTTTATCAATTCAATGGCTTCCACGTCACCGATATCTTTGGAATTTTCAGTTTCTATTTTATTTTCTTTCTGTATTCATAAAAATTTCTTTGCAAATTATCAATAAAACAAAGTTAAAATCCTTCTAATGTAGTATATAAATATACCGTTTCTCTAAGGTAAGATATTCAGTCTATAACTACCACCTCAAAAGCTAAGAAAGTAACATAAAAATAATAATAATAAAGAGGAAAGAGGTAAAAAAGAAAGAAAGAAATAGCTAGTATTATTCTCTCAACCGTTTAGTGATTTTCTTGTAATCTAATTTGAATACTTTTACTATACAGTAGGTTTATTTGATCACTTATTTCAGCAGCGAACGCTCGACAAAATATATATATATATGTATCTGTCTAGGATATAGCTATAGAATTTCAATATTTTCATTTCTATCGATAATCTTCATAGATTTACTATAGGCCTATCTTTATATAAAATGTACGATTTTATTCATAAAGAAAAATTTATTTCGTAGAAATTCATAATTATCTTTATAAGAGAAGAAGAGAAGAATACAAAGGAGACTAAAGAAGTACTTCTAGAATACATAGTGAAATGTAAATATATCAATGTTTTTAATAAAGTTCGTTTGTTCTATTGCCAAAAATAAATTTTAATATATACTGTATATATTGCATATCTATAAAAAAGCCTATATTCGCTATTTATTAAAGCATTTTCTCCCTTTTATTTATTATCTACTATATCCTTATTAATTCTATTATTGTGACATTGACATCGTCTAAATCTTCATTTATTCGACTCTGACCTTAAAATAGAAAAAGATAGAGAGAAAAAAAGAACTAAAAATAAATTATCTTTTTTCTCTTTGTTCTTTTTTTTTTATTTTTTTTTTAATCCTTCTTTCTATCAAAACTTCAAACAATTGATAAAGAATAATAAACAGTCATTATTATTGTTAATATTATTACGTCATTCTCTTAGTTAATTTATTTCTAATTTTAAAAGTATTCTTCTATAAGAGATTCTATAGCGACGGTCGATAATTTTTTTTTCTAGGGTGCCGGGGTAAAAAAAACGGAAAAAAAAAATACGAGATTCATAATCTAGAAATTCCAGAAAGCTATTGTATAGGAGCCGTGAACTATTTCATTTCATAACCAGATTAGTGTAAGCAAATTTTGCAACAGAAATCCAATTTATTTTCAACTAAGTGGTTAGTGATTGGTGACGCAAGTATTTTGCGGGTAAATCTAGTTGGAATGCCTCAGGAATTGTACATATAATATATATATATATATAACGTATATACTGTATATAGTATTGCCATATATATAAATATGTATATATATTATATCTATTAATAGAGGAGCTATATATATATATATATCGATATATACAGTATTCCTTATATAATTTGTACCTCTTCCCTTTCAGTATCCTCAGCTTTTTCAATAGACTTTTCTCCTCCCTTGCAAGCACAGAGCAGAAAATATTGATAATTTTTTCAATAAAGAAAACAACGAAAAAGAGAAATTCGTGTAAATTCCGTGTAAAGCAATACTATAATTTCTAATTTTCTATGTGCTTCCCTTTTTGTCTTATTTAGGATTTAAGATAAGAACAAAAAAGGCATCTTTTTGATTTTTCATAGTATTTATGCTAAGACTTTTCTTTTGTTAATGTATGGAATGCTTAAACGGCCAAAGCCTCTCTACGTGTTTCCTACCACTAGTCTGGCTATATAAGTGATACAAAGAGACTAGGATTACCTGAGCTATGGCTAGACAATATAGAAATTTAGACTCTTGAGAATTTACGGATAAGGTATCCAACTGGAATTTGATAATAATTATTGTCTAATAAATTTTTTATAAACAAGCGATGCCAATACGCGATAGAGAAAATCTGCAATACGTGCAGAGAAGTTTTTGCAGTAGACTATATAGGTTTCGTTTAATCGAGGTATGTGTACAGAGGAGAGTTGTGTGTAGAAAAAACAAGTGAATAGATTGGGAAAAGAGGTTGATTAAATGATTAGCTTTTGATAGAAACTAGCATATTTCCTGATACGAAGCCTATTTTATCTTCTTTTTTTCCTTTTGAAATATTAATAACTTACATCAACGGAGGGAAGAGAGCAATTTTCATCTTCATCTTCCTTACTGGAGCTCTGTATTATTGAGAAGATTATTTCATTATAGATAGCAGTATATTAATATATATATTAATATATATGTATTTAAAAAAGACAGAACCAGCTGTGAATCTTGTGAAAGAAGTTTTGTTCTGTCAAACTTTATTAATGTAGAAGGGTCTTCCTGAAAACGTATGAATAGAATAAATTAGTTAAAAACAAATACACTAATAAAGACAGTTAAGAGCATACCTTATATTCAAATTTATTGTTAATAATAGGTTTCACAGCCATATGAAAGAGAGCATCTTGCCGCCTATTTATTACATATATAACATAAATATAGTATATACTCATATATATATATATATACATATATCAATAAATTATATGGTTCAGTTTACTTAAAAGGTAGTTGATGATAATAATGATAACCAGTGTACACTTTTCTTAATAATTATACTTCATGTACAATACGAATGTTAAACTATAATATACAGTATATATACTGTATACACTAATATAGTTGGATTTCGAACAAAAGTCGCTCTTTTATGCTTACAATTCTATATTTGTTTACAGGTATGGTTAATTTTAGATTTGTTATATGTAAGCTTTATAAAAGATATATATATATATATATACTGTATATATATAAATGCTATATTTATACCATAGACATTTTATAAACAATATATCTAACAAACATAGCTAACTAGTTCAATAAAACAATAACAGTTTTAATTGAAAGTGAATTACTTTACTTGGCAATTCTAGGCATGTATTTTCCTTTATATAAGGTAATGATGTTGTTTAGAAAGTTAAGTACTGTACTTAGTACGAATGATTATTCTTTGGCTTAGATAAAATTATATATAGAAATTGTATCGTTTTTTCTCACCTGAGAAGTACAATCTTAACTTCATTAGAACGGACACCTTTAATCAGGGCTGAAGCATTAAGATGACTTCTTCCAAAAAGAACTTTATCGTTTACCTGCAAGTAATCACTTTAGTAGTTTGTAGTTGTTAATTAAATAAATAAAGCAATAAAAAATGCTTTATTGTTTTTGTTCTAAATATGAGAAAAATATGTGTACAAAAATAATAAAAGTATAGCTTTTAAGTCGGTCAATATTTACTCTTAATAAAGATGAGATTCTACTTTTACGTGTATTTTTACTTATATTTAAGTCCTGCTGACATTGGTTTAATTTTATTAAATGGATTTAATAGCCATAAAATCCTTTATAATCTTCTTTCGTTATAATAAGATACGTGTCGAAGCAATTTTGTTTTAATATGGAAAAAATTTACATATAATAAATCCCTAGTGTTACATATCTGAATAGAATTATTGCTCTTCTCTTTCTCTTATCGCTTTTCTCTTTTCCTTTTTTACCAACTCGTTTTCTCTCTCTCTCTCTTTCTGTCTATCTCTTTCTCTCTCCTTTCGTTGCCCCTTCTATCAATCGTTTTACTTTACTCCGACCTGTTTAATTCCCACACTCTGGTTTCTTTACGGTATGTTCTCATAAAAATCAAATGATTATAAAACTACCCGAAAATTATATCAATTGTATTGATAAAAGGTGATTACGTTGGAAATGTTGCATAATATCAAGTAATGAACAATTGCAAGGGAGGCAGTAGCCAGAAGAGAAGAAAATTGTCTAACGTTTCCCTAACAGCACATCTTAGAGATGAAATTTTTTCCCTATAGACTTAGAACGTTGGAATCGTTATTGGAATCAGAATTAAAGTTGAATTATGCAATTGCTTTATGTCTGACTATAATACGTGTATTCTTGTAGTGGACCATAAATATGTCATTATATTACGGCTATTCGCCAAAATATATTGTAGCAAAAAAAAAGACCGATTATTGATTAGTGAGTACAAAACTCCTCTTTCGTATACCATACTAAACACTATTGATGCAGACAGCTTAATGGACACACCCATAACTAAGGTTTGGTACATGTGCGTACATATTTGAGTAAATATAAATAAAAGAGCCAAAATATTCTAATAGAAGAATAAACAACTCTCACTTTTTTCACTTTTCTTTCCATTTCTCTCTCTCTCTCTCTAGAATTTTCTATTTTCCTCTATCTCTCTATCTAACTGTCTTTCTGCTGTCTCTTTCTTTCTTCTATTCTTTGTCTATTTCTCTCTTCTCTTCTCCTTTTTTTTCAAGACTATTTTATACAGTTTAAATCCTGTTATCAACTTTATAAATATAAATCTTTTCAGCTAAAGCTTCAATAGATTCCCTAAAGATTCTTCTTATTATTATTTCTTATTTCATAAAAAGAGAAGATATTTTATAAAGAATAATTAAAATGAATTATCCCTCTCTACAATAATAATGGATAGACCAAGCCATGTTTTTTTTTTAAAAAAAAAAGAGATATAGAGAAAGAATCTGTTAGATTTTTGACTTTTTTTAAGGTTTTATTTAGGGAATGATTCTTGCGGAAAAAAATATATTATGTCCTTTTTCTGGTCTCTTCATACTCCCATTGGGAAAATTTGTTTTTTTTATTCTTTATATTATGTTATGCTTACAATTAAGGGTATTCATATATATATATATATACTGTATATGTTTTCTCTAGATATAAATATTATATATATAGACATCTATCGTATATATAGCTTACTTACAGTATTTTTTAAAAACAGTGACGTACAGGCTGAAAGTGTCTAATGATTTTTACCTTACAAATAAATCTTTTTTTCACAATGATAATCTAGACTACGTTGTGTATTAAAAATAAAATATATTAAATCATCAAACCTCCAAGAGTTGATCTCCGATTCTAACACGTCCATCATCAGATGCAGGAGAGCTTGGTGTTATTCCTACTATAAACACGCTCATCTCATCCAAATCCTTATTTCCAGCTAGGCTTAATCCTAATCCATTCGAGGAATTACCCCTTTCTATCTGAACTACATGGAGTTCACCATTTAGTTCACCGTATCTTCGGATTAGTTCGTCTGCTTTTAAAGGAAAATGTTGAAATTAGAAGAATATTCCTCTTTTGTAAGAAAATGATAAAGATTCTATTTAACCAAATTGTTTAAGGCGGAAACTGGAAAATAGTATTAAAAGACCGTTTTTCTTTTACCCTATTACGGGCCAGAAGGATTTATTTAATGGAAAATTATTGTTCTGACAATCACAGCTAAAAGTCAAACAAATTATTTTACATCAAAATGGCTAAATGACTACTTCCCTTATAGAATAGTAAAAAGAAAGGGGAAGAACAGAAAGGAAGAGAGAGAGAAAATATAATCTATTTTCATAACATTTGAAAAGTACAGAGCATATAAGTTAAAAGATATAAAAAAAGAAAGAGAAGCGTTGTTATCCTTTGAATAAATTGAAAGTTTTTTGTTGCATTAAATGTTTCTTTCGCAGCTAACTCTATTTTTATCCATTGT